TCTGTATACTAACGTTTAGTAATTACCTAAAGAGTATCCTGAAGTCTATCCTCGTTATGTGTCCTTGCAATAATGTCTCTGATCAGCTTTATGTGACGTTCTGTTCTATCATTTACCACTGCAAGCTGATTTGCACAAGCAAAGAACTTGGCAAAAGTTTCTTACTTTCGCAAAAAAAAAGCATATTTTTTCTTTACCTTTCTCCCTCCATATTAAAAGTTCTTCCTTAGTGATTTCTTTGAGAAAAAAGAAAAGATAACTTTGCTCAGTGACAAAACCATCAAGAGATGACATTCAAACAACGACTGGCTGGATTCCAGGTTTCTCAAGCACCATATAATCTTTTTTTGGAACAGCAAAATACAGCAAATTGTTGAGCATTTGTTCTTAACGTCAGCATCTAGATCCCTGTCAGCAAGAGACAAAACTACAAACTAGGGAGCTAATTAACAAGTATACCGTAGAAATCTTTTGTTGAGAACTTTCCAAATTTCTGCACAGGCTTTGTAATCATCTAACATTTGGAGATGGTAATCTATCTTAAAATCTTTTAGTCTTTTAGCTCTTATTTGAAGGAGCTTGAGTTGCCATAAAATTCTTCAGAAAGAATACCTATGAAAAAACACAATTGGATTTGTAAAAGTGTTTATGTTCTTGACAGCAGCAGGCTCTACTGTTTTTGAATCATTCGGATTATAGTTTTGTGTCACCTGCAAGACAAGAAGGTAAATGCCGTCACTCATAAGCCTGAACTCATGGTAAACATAAAGATAGAATTAGGTATATCTGCACCCAGGAGGAAAGCCAGTAGCTGGCAAATATACTTATAGTCACCTCTTAGGAAAGTGTTTTTCTAAAGTGCAAAATATTTTAGTTTTGAATGAAAATTTGTGAATAAAAGTATCTGGTCTAAATGAATCCTGAGACCATTTTAATTTGACATTTTTTTCAAGTTTTTTAATTTCTTTTTGCATTTGCAGACATAGCTTCTGAAGTAAAACATAGAGGTGTTTGCTGGGACTTTTTATTGCACCAAAAACAAACTCTATGATATGAGACACATGTCTCTCATACATGTGATGTCTGCGGATAAGCCATAAAACAGGCCTCCCTTAAACATGAACAGTAACATTTCTTATAGCTTCATTGTTCTTACCTGTGTTGTTAGCTATGGTGTCAGCACACACCCCAATGATTTGATTAGATAGCTCACAGTATTTGAGGACACTTTGAATGGCTACAGCTTGGTCTCTTCGCTTTGAGCTTTTAATTTTCATAATACCAAGCAGAAAATCTAAAGGGTCAGGTTTAGGAGAGGAAGCGCTTATAGGCATCCTTTCATGACTTGTGGAAATGTTTTCTTTACTGGTGTTCTGCCTTACACTTTAAGTATCATAGTGATTCACTAGCTTTAATTCTCTTACTTTTTCATGTTTTGCTCTCGGATAATCTGGGCTTCTGACTCTACTACAGTATATGCTTTCCTAGTCAGAGTTGATCTTGAGATCTACAACTCCTCAATGTTAATATTACCAGCTTTATAAAAAGATTTTAATAGACAGGTTCCTGGTCGTACACCAACACCTTAACTTGTAATGATTGGGATCCAATTGATTAGGAGTCTATCCATACTAAACTGAAGACTAACTTTTACTTCACCTGAAATCTTATGGATATTTGTAGGAGGCATAAATGCTTCATCAGAGCCTAGAAGGCTATCACTGTCTGTGTACCAGGAAACTTCAAAGTCTCTTTTTTCTAGTTTTTCTACACTTCTTTGATTCTTTTTCTTGTAATTCCTGAACTTTTTATTTTGTGAGTTGATTTTTTCTTCTATTATTCTTATTTTCTCCACAGCCAAACAAGCATTTTTTTGAAATGTTTTAGCGATATCCGCCATCTTGACTATGTGTCCTTTGAGACATTACTTTAGGAATTCAATGTCCTATTTTTGAACCTCTTTGTTCCTCATTGTATCATTCTTTATCAAGTTAAAAATGTTGGTCTTATAAATTGGGAATAAAAAATTGCTTTCATATAGAAAGTTGCTTACTTTCTTGCAGTAGCTTCCTTCTGTTAGACTTAGAGTCTTGAGTCTTTTTAGGGATTGGTACTCATTAATCTTTTTGGTAATTTTATTTCATATTTGCTGCTCTTTGATTATGAAATTGTTGTTGAATCCATGCCCCACAAGTTTACTAGTTCTCTCAAAATGCAAACACCTTCTGATTATCTGTTGCCAATTCTCTTCACACATTTCTTCAGCTAACTTACTGCATTTCAAATAACTTTTTCCAGAAGTAAGGGCACAAAATTACAGTTTACCTTGGTAGTGCTAAGAAAATATCAAATGGTTAAGTCAAAATAAACATAAATTTCAGAAATTTTTCAGACGTTACCTAATTTCTTTTCTAATGTTGAACCAGAAAAACCCTTCAAGCAATTTCCAATTCAATTGGAAATCAATTTGAAGCAAAGCTTTGGAGTGGAAAGTTTAAAAAATAAACTGTCTAAGCTTTCTTGCCGCCTGTCTCAAATCTTCAGTTGACTCTTGTATTGTATTGTCGCATTTTGTTCCTGAAGCCATTGTCTAAAAATATAGCTAACAGTAAAGTATTAATATATAAATTTATATATATTTATAAATATATAAAATAAAATACAATTACATTAAAGTAGTTTGCTTCGTTACGGCAAAAAATACTATTGAAAGTTGCGTATCATATATAGCATACATAATGTTGTTTTATTATAATTATCTACACTAATGAAATAATTTTAAAAAAGTGCCTTAAATGAAAAATTATTTACTAAAATAAAACTTTTGTATGTCCACGCGAAATATCATTGTTCGGAGAATTAGCAAACAAATCTTTTTTTTTTTCTTTATATCTTACTAGCAGTAAGCAACCCGTAATACGGGTTAGTAGTAAATAAATCATTACCAACAATTTGATATTTATTTACTTTCTCTAATAAAATATAAATTTATTTATACAGAAAGCAACCCGTAATACGGGTTAGTAGTAAATAAATCATTACTATCAATTTGATCTTTATTTACTTTCTCTAATGAAATATAAATTTATTTATGCATTTTTTTAGTTGAGCTCACTTTTATTTTTCTTGGCTTCTTAGTTTAAGAGAACTCTTAGCTTCAATTATTTTATATTTATTGAAGAGCCAGAAACATATTTTTTTTCAAAGAGCAAAAGTATTAACAATTTTTAAAGAAAAATTTTATTTATATCAAAATTTTCAATAAAAATTAAATTAAGATAAATTTGAAACAAAATATTGTCATGGCTTTTATCCCAATAACCAAAACTATGTGAAAGCATGAAACTACCCATAATATATTTTAACGCTAGACACAATTTAAGAATTAAAGTAATCTATAACACGAAGCTTTAAATTTAAAATTACAATTTAAAAAAGATTACAATAAACTAATTACTTTTAAATTTAAAAAAAAAATTTAGATTACCTATAATTTTAAGCTACTAAACATTATCTACTTAATATCAACTTGGACATTTTGAACTCGTACCATGAAAGGTTGAAAGGAAATCTTTAAGAAAGCACGCGGTAAAGAAAAGTCTAGAAACTACTTAAAAAGTGTATTTTACAGATACAGTAACTATAAAACAATACGCGTAACTATGCGCACTATTAATAATAATAATAATATTCATTCGGCTATTCATTATAGAGATTAAAATTAAGAAGTATATTATTTTTAATTTTTTTAATAACTTTTGTTATCCATAAATAAAAATGAATAAATAATTAAAAAACAATTTTATTAATAATATTATTAAAACATATTCGTAAATAATAAAATGTGGTTGCTAAATTCTCCTAACATTCAAAAAGATATTAGGAAATAGTATATTTGCATTATAATATTCTATTAAATAGAAACTGACTAAAACTACCTTCTTTACCTTAGAGTTGATGTGAAAGGCTAAAATTTTCACTATTAGCTACTAATACATAATGATACTGATGGAACTTTTACACGATTTGATTTAAAATAAATAAATTTTGGAACTGTATATATATATATATATATATATATATATATATATATATATATATATATATATATATATATATATATATATATATATATATATATATATATATATATATATATGTATATATATATATATATATATATATATATATATATATATATATATATATATATATATATATATATATATATATATATATATATATATATATATATATATATATATATATATATATATATATATATATATATATATATATATATGTATATATATATATATATATATATATATATATATATATATATATATATATATATATATATATATATATATAAATATATATATATATATATATATATATATATATATATATATATATATATATATATATATATATATATATATATATATATATATATATATATATATATATATATATATATATATATATATATATATATATGTATATATAAATTGAGAAAAGTTTACGTTTACAGCTAAAAATATTTTTCCGTTCTTTAATTTTTTTTTGCTTTAAATATAGTAACAATATTGAAAAACTTATTACACTAAGGAGAGGTCTTAAACTCCCAAAACAGCATTAATGAGAGGGCACTAAACAAATCTAATCATAAATCTCTTAGAATTACTACGTTTGGAGAAAAGGTGCCCACATAAATTTTTGGTCATGTAACAATTTTTCAGAAATTATATAAGGTAGGTGTGTAATAGATAAATATAAAAAAGTTAGATTTGTTAAAGATCGGTATTTTACTACTTTGGTATATATATACGAAAAAAGTATAGAAAGGGTAGGTGTGGAATAAACTTACACAAACCCACATATCTACGGTTTGGTCACCTAGTACCTAAGTAAATTACATACACCGTTAATAGTTTTAATTTATAATAAGAAATTGAAAATTATTAAATTTATTAACAATAACTGTGTTTTTACAGATATAAACGAGTGTGTCAACTTAAATCCATGTTCGTGGAATAACAGCATATGTGAAAATATAGAAGGAAGTTACTTATGCTTATGTGCAAACGGATGGCTTTTGGGTTATGACAATATTAGCTGTGTTGGTGAGTTTATTACAGTTTATACTGTGCTAGTTGTTCGTTATTTAAACGAATCCTTGTTTTGATAATGTCTATATTTTAAGATGTTGCATTTTGATCATATTTTATTTAAAAAAAAAAAAAAAAAATTTTTTTCTTGATGCATTATCGCATTTATTCATACTAATATTGCAATCATTCATTGTAATACAGCTATCTTTCATTACTATACAGCAAGTATTTGTTATAATACCGTTGTCTCTTATGTTTACATCTCAATCTTTAATTATAATATCGAAATTTCTTAATTCATTTTACTTTATTTAAAGATATCAATGAATGCTTAACTTTAAATCCATGTTTTTGGAATAACAGCCTTTGTGTAAATACAATAGGAAGTTACTTGTGCTTGTGTACTAGTGGATGGATATTGGACAAAGATAAATCTAGCTGTGTTGGTGAGTGTTTAAACTTATTTAAAACGATTTATACTATATTATTTTTACCTAGTGGTACAGATTTATACATATACATATTCGTAGTGATACCTATTTTTGACGACTTCATGTCTTGATCTCTTATTTTTAAAAACTTTTTTTCAACGATTTATGCTATGATTTTCAATAAAAATTATGTTTTTTAATTTTTTTATTGAAAAGCACAAAAAAATAATTTTTCTAAGTCAACAATAAAAAAAAACCTAATAAATTTTTATAATATACTTAGCAATACTACTATTTTTTTTAAAAGACTACAACGAGTGTATTAACTCTAATCCATGTTCTTGGAATAATAGCATATGTAAAAATACAATAGGAAGTTATTTGTGCACATGTTCAAATGGATGGTTTTTGGGTAACGATAACGCAAGCTGTATTGGTGAGTTTGAAAAAACTTTTTTTTAAATAAAAACAACACTATTTTCCGGTATATATATATATATACATACATATATATATATATATATATATATATATATATATATATATATATATATATATATATATATATATATATATATATATATATATATATATATATATATATATATATATATATATATATATATATATATATATAACGTTTTAAAATATATAACGTTTTGACACTCTTGAAAACAAAAGCATATCATGCTTTAATCAATTTTTGCAATGACGTCAAGGCGCATTACATATTAAAGTAAAATATATAACGTTTTGACACTCTTGAAAACAAAAGCATATCATGCTTTAATCAATTTTTGCAATGACGGCAAGGCGCATTACATATTAAAGTAAAGCCTGCCGGCGACGGCTTTAAGCGTGACGGTCTGATGAAGGAATATTTTTAAAGGGTGTATACAAAATTTTGGAGGAAAAGTGAGATTCGCGACATATAATTAGATCCTATTAAAGTTGACAGAACCAAAATACCTCAGAAAGGTCGTAGTTAGTAAAGTTAGTTCAATATAAGCTTTGATTATTTTTTCAAAAGTTTTTAAAAAAGCTTACTTTTAGAAATTTCTTTTATGTAAGAAATGTTTTACAAACTTAATTCCATTTTTGATTTAAGCTGACATTTTCAAGAAATAATTTTTTTTTTAAATACGACTTTAATTATTTTTGTCTTCTAGACAAGTCTATGTCTTCTATAATTAAAAAAATAGACAAGTCTATGTCTTCTATAATTAAAAAAAAAATTTTCCATTATGGAAAAAAAAATTTCAAAAAAATGGGCTAATGTGAATTAAATGAGAACTTTATTTTCATGTGCCTAGGAGTTATTTTAAAAAGTTTTTATAATAAAAGTTTCAGATAATTGAGAAAACGCTATTTTTAAGTCGGTTTTTATTTAAAATTGTTTGAAATTACATTTAAATGTTGTTTATGATTTTTTTTAACATTTTCGAGTTCATATTTTTATCCAAGTTTTTGCTTGATGATTTTTGCTGCATTTTAAAATAAAAATATAAAGACAACTACTCAAATTAATAGTAAAACAAAATCATTTTTATAGCAGCACCTTGCTATAAAATGTTCATATACAAGGGCTGTGGAGTCGGAGTCGGAGTTGCGGAGTCGCGACATTTTTTGCGGAGGCGGAGTAGGAGTCGCCTAACAAATTCGCGACTCCGACTCCAATAGTAAAACTTCTAGGTATTGCACGTGCATGTACAAAACATTCAATTAACCTTATGTTTATACTAAACCTCAAAGAACGTTTCATAAATTTGTCAAAAAAGAAATTATTAACTTATTGCGTAATATTTTTGAAAGAATTCAATAAATTTTTCAAAAACTTTGCTTTGGAGTTGGAGTCGGAGTCGGAGTCCGAGTCCGAGTTGTACTTAAAAAATTTCAACAACTGGAGTCGGAGTCGTTACTTTTTTTTTCCACACCCTTGTCATATACCCTAATTTTTTTTTTCCTTCTAATTTGAGAAAAAGCTACCCATGATTAAAAAAAGTTAAAAGTTTTCTTAAAAAGATAAATTTTATAAAATAAAAACAAAAATTTTTTATTTATCTAACAAGCAAATGTTTGAATATCCTGTATTAAACAATCATACTTACAAAAATCTGGAAAAACCCGCCCTCAATTCTTGTTATACTTGCAACCTAAATTTAATTATTTTACTTTTTTTATACCACTAAAAAACTCAAAAGATTCAGACGATGCCTAATTGTCTCTAATGCCCTAAAACTTCACTCTGCCGTCATGTCTAAACGTAATCTTGATTCAATCAATGAAATAAAAATTAAAAATAAAATACATGTTTTTTGAATCTTTGTTTCTCAAAAGCTGTCTAAAAAAAATTGTTTATTTTTAAAAACATCTTCTGACATTCATTTATATTATTACGGTTATTTATACATAAATTTATTTGTTTAATGTTAGTGTTGCGCACCAAATTAGTTTATATATTATAGCTTACACATATCAATAATTTAATTCAAAGCAATTTAGAAAAATAATTTTATAATAACTTTTAATATTTTAAGAAGTATGGTATTGTTTTAGAGCGGTTTTTTGAAGTTCAAAGTAAACAGAACTGTTTAATGAAATACCTGTCACGTCATTGTAACATTCAAAAACGGCTACACAAGTGTTACGCAAAAGCATTTTAATATTAGGCATAAAATAGAATTGCCATTATTGCTTTATATAAAAAGCGTTCAAAGTTTATCTTAAACAGATATCAGAGAGTTCGGAATAAGAAAAAAATACTTTTGCCTAATGAAACTATATACTAACAATTTAGAAGTGTACTAAAGATACAAAGGTTTTAATCTAACAAAAAGAAAGTTTTGATATAGAAATACAGTTAGACAATAGGACGGGTGAATAAAAATAAGCTATTGCTTTTACTCTGTAATTGGTCAGCTTTATTTAAACTTTAGCAGTTTTGCTCAAATTTTTAATCATGTAAATTTAAGCAATTTACTCAGCATTTGCTCAAATTGCTCAGCTTTACGCGAATAAAAAGTAAAATTGCTTAAGTTTATATTCACGTAAAACTGACCGATTACTGAGTAAAAGAAATTGCTCATTTTTAATCACCCGGCCTAATATATACAATGTGCTGGGCTAAAAAAAGAATTAAATACTGAAGAACTCAGTAAAAAATTTCTTAATGAAACAATTTTTTTTTTTGAGTTAACAAAAGAAAACATACTTGTAGTTTGATTACTTTATTTCAGCGATTAAATTTTATATAATCGAAGAGAGTAAGCTTTTAGTAGATGCGAGTTATTTTTAAACAAACTAAGGAATAGAGTAAAAAATAGTATTGTTAATACCTTTTAAATTTTGAATATATGATAAAAATTAATAAAAGTAGTAATAGTAATACAAACTGCTGCAACGACTATTGTTGTGGAGCATAAAGTTTATAATTTATACTTTAACAGCCTTTAAAAATGTTTATCTAGTCTAGCTTTAGAAGAATTTACTGTCATTGCAGATACCACTTTTTCAGGTAAAGCATTTCAATGAGGTACTACTCTGTTTGTAAAAAAAATATGTCTCAGATTTGTTTTTGCAAATTGCTCCTTTTTAAAAAGTGGTGTAATATTTTCAGATTTCCATAATTCTGGCAAATCTCTTGAATGAATCGATTTCTTAAATATTGCAGACAAAGGTTTATACAATCCTTCTGCACGATGCTTTAGCACATAGTGATGTTATCTAAGTTCTAATAAAGAATTAAGTATAATATCATCGTTTAGTTCTTGGTCCCAGTCTTTGTTGAAATGTAGCAGATCTTGATATGCTTTGACAAATAATGATTGGAAACTACAATTTAGTAGATTAACAATGACATTTTTATCGGTTATTTTATTATTGTCACTAGTTTTAAGTGCTAGTAATTTTGTATGTGTTTGATTTTTTAATTGTGCATATGCATAGAAGCGTTTTGGGTTATGTTTTACATCTTTTGCTAAGTTTATTTTATAATCATAAGTAGATTTTTTAATTAGTTTTTTAATTGTTTTAATGATTAGTTAGTATTCATTATTTAAGTTTGTATTGTTGAAGTTTGTAGCACGCACTCTACACCAGATTCTTGATTTTTTTATTGATGTATGGATTTCAGACTAAACTAGTGGATTTTGAGTGTTGAGGAATATATTGTTTGCAAGCTTTTTCATAAATTTTTGAAAAGTATTCATAACATCGATTTGTACTCGTTTTATCAAAAATTTCAACCCAATTTACTTTACAAAACAAGTGAATCATTTCTATCTACTTTCCTTGACGAAAATTAAATCTCTTTTTTTGAACTTTTTCTCATGATTATGTTATTTTCCTATTTTAATATGTAATGGCTTTTAAAAATTTAACCAATTGGAAAATCATACTCAAGTTTTACTGCTAATTTTAGATTGTCGCATATTATTAAATCTTATATATTTTTTTGTTTACCAATAGCCATTTGAAAAGTTGATTTGCTAACTATTTGCTCTGCTTGTGTGGCAATTTTGCTTTATCTCGATTGTTTTCATTCCAAATAATATTTAGGTAATTAAAATCACCAACAATCATTACATTTTAGTATTTTCCATTCATCACTTCCTTTTTAGCAGTTTTTATCAATTCATTAGTTGTATTACTTATTTTGGTCAGTACTGTTTGGTGGTCTGTATATACATTTAACTAATATTTTTATTTTATGAAGTACAATGCAACACCATGTTTGTTCAACTTCTAATAAAGGTGAAACTGATAATCCATAAGCAATTATATTGTCTTTTGTAAAAGCTACAACACCTCCACCATGTTTATTTGTATTATTGTAATATACCATGTTTACTCTTGTAATATACCATGTTTACCATCATGTTTATTTGTATTATTGTAATATTGTAATATTGTATTATATGTATTATTGTAAAAGCAGTTGTAGTTGTTAATACTATTAATTGAATTATTTTTGAACCATGTTTCAAAAATATGTATGATATCTGGCGTATCAATCAGAATTTTTGTTTCAAACTCTGCTATTTTATTTAATAAAGATGTAGAAAATGTATATCAAAACTTAAGAGAGTTATACTTTTTATTGAATGGGAAAATACTGTCAGATTTGTTTTTATTTACTTTACTTATTAAATTAATTTTTATCTTTTATGCTTTTCTTGACTTTGACAGTTGACTCGTTTTCGACAATATACCGAAAGGGTTGGTCATTATCAGTATTATTTAAACAATCTCTTTCTTTTAGAAGCAATTTTTTACTTTCAAGTTGTGTTAATATTATATCCCGATTTTCATATACTTTATTTTTATATTCGACATTATATTTCAAATTACTTGCTGACTTTAAAATGTCTGCAACTTTTTCTTTATTATTTAACTCTGCTATTACAATATCAGGTTTATCGATTTTCGATTTTAGTC